TGATTGTTGAATAGATGATGTTATTCATTCTTCTAGACTCTGTTTTTATACACTTAGAGAGACGCTAGGGTATCGTACATGGAGTTAATGAGAAGATATCCTATACATAATGAGAATATATTATATACATAACTGGATCCTTGATTTGTGTAATCTCTGATATGATTGTATCCTTATATAATGGACAATCATGAACCCTGTTCGATTATGACCATGCGTATAATGAACCAGAACATACTTGTTTGAAAAGTTGTTTCTCTCGAACTGATCAACCTCGTTGACAAACATGTTAACAGAAACATCATCTGGCACAGCATCACGACCACTGCAACAGATCTTAACATGCTCGATGCCCTTTTGCCTTAACTCTGTGTTAGGATGATAGTAACGAGTTGTGTTGGTTAGATCAATAACCAGACCAAGCTTCTTCTTTCCATTAGTGAACCACTGTTTCAAAATGTATGTTTTGTCACGAGGAAGACAGTCGTTGTAAGATTCACTGCGAGGAACCTTTGAAGGAATGATGCATCCTATTTCCTGACCAAAACGAGGACAATCTAGCCAACCCTCAGGGATGACTTTGTTCTGATCACGGTACACTCTCATTCTTTTACTTTTTTCTTCACAGATTTCGTCTCGATGTCTCTTACCGTCACCGGCAAAAGAACACATCGTAGCAATCATTCTCTTCGAAGGACAAGAGAACGACACCGTAACTCTGTATTGAAAGATTTCTCTACGCAAGCAAAACCTTGAAATGTGACGAGCACGTTTGATTCGTCAAGAAGACTGAAAATTGCGAACGGAAATTGGAAACCCTAAGTCGGCAACGAGAAGAGAGAGGGAAACGACTATTCGGCAAGGAAGTTGTTTTCAGTGAATAGTTGGGACTTTCGGATATATAAAACTATATATAGAGATGTATGAGAGGCATTAGGGATTAGCTAATTACATAAAAAACCTTTCTATACAACTATACTTATAAATGAGAAGGCAAAAATCCTACGTGGCGACTCTAGAGTGAGTTTAAGACTTGGTTTGCATATATTATCCTTAATGAATCGATATAATTACGTATCGCCATCACATTTTTCCGTATTAAAATATTCTTAATCGTTGGTCTATATTAATTGATTGGGTCCTATTTATTTGGTTTGGATTTTCGTTAGGCCCATATAGATTCATCATTATTTTATCGTATATATTTAATCGTTTGATAAACATTTTAATGGGTTTCGGCTAATTTTTTTTTATTATAACCCATATTTCATATGAAACCTTATATGTCAATTATACAATTTCGTGTATATATATATATATGTGAGCTTTAGGGTTTAGTCATAATTATCTTTTTTTCATTTATTAATTTTTCATCGATCCTAACATATTTTTTCTTTCGTCTTCTTGCAGCAGGTTCACCGTGATTTATTCCTTCGTCTTCTCACAAAAAATTTACATATCTCATCATTTCTTTTGAGGTAATTTTTTTTAGTTGATCGATTTCGATGTCATAAAATATGTAGTTGTTTAAGGCATGGAAAATCAGGTTTACTTTACTGTTTCATTACTTCTCTATGCGTAATTTTTCTTTCTTAGTTCTTAGAGCTTCCGATTAATGAAAATCTCATTGTTCAGGATTAGAGGTAAGAATGAAAGTCTTAATTGTTTGTTGTGATTGTTACTGGCTTTAGAATGGTCTCTCTAATTACAAAAATCTTATAGTTTGGAGAATGTATTCGGATGTGGTGGAGACCCAATTTTTAGACGATATATCTTTTTTTTGCCTTCCAATCCAATGCACCCAAAGGTTAGTTGGTTCCACTTCCATGGTAGTTAAAGTCGAGACTTTTGTAGATTCACGCTTATACTTAAAGCTTTGCTCTATCCTCATATTTTGTTCACGAATACACAAAGTTTTTCTTTTTGAAACTGCGGATAAATTAACAGTCTGTTGTGCCTACTAACTTCAAATTCTTCGCTGTCCATTGTACTAAATTGATGAAAACGAAATGATATGTAATATCGTACTCGCATTTCTTTTACCTCATTGAGAACTTTTAAGTGGTGTTTTTGGTTAAACTAATAGGATCAGTTCATCAAGATGTCTTTCCCATGCTCTCACATTCTCGTGTTCCATTCATGTTTAATTTGCAGACTTATGGCCCAATCTATGTTCGGATATGTTGTGTTTTCTCTATGTTTTTTAATTTGCTATCTCTAGATTTAATTTACTCTTTTCTTTCTCTCTATAGTTTAATTTGTCTATCCATTCATAAACAATTTATTTCTGGAAAAGAATCATCCGCAATAGGTTTATCCTTTCTTTCATCTTTGTCAATGAAACTAAGGTTTGGTTTCTGGGGAGGATTTACGAGCCTTCTGGTTTGGGATTGATGAGATTGGGGTTTACAGTTTCTTCTTCGCAGGGATTTTGTAGCACTAATCTCATTCTGTTTTTCTTTCTTAATAAACATTTTAACATTCTCTACGTGGTTATGTTTCTTAATCACATCATCGTTTTCTCATCTTGCAGTTAGAAGAACTCTTTGAGAGGATGAATATTGAGGTGGACCGTTCAAACTTTACTTTCAAATGCTTTTATTTAAAGACTTTAGTTTTTAACCCTTTACACATAAGTAATCATTATTGATTTCTTTTATGAGTAAGATGATTCTAAGGGGAAAGACAAATGGAAGATGGATACAAGTATCAGGAGGCAACATTTAGTAAAAGATAACAACGACGAGATAATGGATACAAATCGATCTCTTATTATGCTTATAAAATCTTATTTTTCATTCTTTAATTTACGGCGTCTAATATTTACAATTATGTCCTGGTCAAAATCCAAACATATACTCTCTAGATAAAAAATTATAGAGATAATTTCACTAAGAAATCCACTCTCTTAAGGTTAAATTCTAAGTCTCTCTCATGTGGTCTAATTGCATGTTCTTTTCTTTTCTCAACTTCACCGATTTTCAATTCTTCCTCAAATATCCTTTGCTCACAGTTAGATTAATAAACAATTGATGGAATCCTTACAATTGCTTAAAAGGACTTGCCAAATGTCTCATCGGTATCATGTCCAATGTAAAAAATATGTTCTTGGTTCCGGATGATTCAATTCATGTTCTCTCCAAGTTTGAGAAGTACTAAAGTTTGAGAAGAATTAAAGTA